CACGCACAAACGTGCATTCCAAGCTCGCCGCCATTAATCTCCGTAGTCTGTTTCATGTGTTAGAAGTGTACAAGATGACAGAGGTGGCGACGTTCCATTAATAACGCATTAAAACATTGTTTGCGTACCAACGCCAATCCAAAGCAATACGACAAAATACAGTAGTGGCCAGGCGAAAACTTCGGATGCAACTCCCAACATGCCTCGCGATGGCCATCCAATGGCAGAGTAGACGTACAAAACTGCATGTAGAACACACAAAACGTGAAAAAAGTGACGGCCGATGCGAGCGTGACGTGCATTCAAAAGGCTTGTTACTGGACGTTTACCCACGCGAATCGTCTACGCCCGTGAATGCTAGAGTCAAAAATCCGCCAAGCCCTCACCAGGGATATATATTAGTGTGCACAGGCCGACGGTAGTTAATATAAAGGTCGGAGTCCACAAGTGTGTCTCCATCAACCTGATTCAAACAAACGTAAGAAGGTACTTTTATGTCCCCATTGAAATTTACGAGCACGAAAAGATGTTTACTGATGAATTGCAGGCACAAGCAGGAAGCTAGGGAACAGCTGGAGCACCGTGTCGGCGTCCCCACTGGGTGCATGTGCACTGGGTGCATGTGCATTAAGAATTATGCTGCGCCCTGCACGCATGCACGGCAGAGTGCCTCAATTACATGCGCAAATTGCTTTGAATTATCAGGCCGAAGAGCAGTATAGCACCAAATGAAAAAAACCCCATTGTTTGGCCGCCTGGGATTGCATTCGAGTCCATCCATGCTGCCTACATTGAAATGTGAGAACACAAAAATGCGACATTGGGCGACACAGATAAAACATATGCCAATGCGAGTATCCCTCCCGCGCAAGCCGCCCTGGGATTGCGCTCTTTCTTGGCACACATGGCAACATGCTCTGCAGCGAATTGCGGTAATATTTAATCCCATTTAGCCATCTTTCACATACGAAGCAGCAGCACCTACACACCTGCAATATGTAATAAGTCAGCAAAGAGTAAATTATTCCCTCAACGGTCCAAAAGCTAAAAGTAAACCCGTTGAAGTATAGACGGCGCCTTCCCTACAAACACACAAATGCACCGACACAATCACCTGAAGACGCTCAGTTGTCAAATGCAGCAATATCGAGCTAAACAAAGGATCATAAAACACTCTGCAAGCGTACAAGCTGGGCGGCAATTGGGTATGCGCCATACAGCGTTAACAGTTCATGCCGGCGCATGGTTTTCGTTTGGTCCTTACCAAAGTATAAAGAACAGGGATTGAGGGTAGTAAGTGCTCCGGCAGGTCTTGTTCCGAAAATGAATAAACAATCGCTGGCAAAACTGTCCAGAGGAAGTTCGCCAGCATATAGAGTACCGGGTCGAAGAGCTGAGAAGGCACACCAAGCAGACGCCAAATAATCGCGTGAAGTGGCAGCCTGCTCTTACGGGCGACTGTCCTGAATATTCGAAACTCGCGCAGTTACTGACAGTCTGCGTACCTCCACAGCGGACCAGAATGCACTGGGCTGGAACAAGAACACTGCAGCGCAAGCGATAAACGCAATAGTTCTCTCTACGCATCTCTAAGGTAAATCCGCATTTCCCATGGCCGATCCATGATAGACTGATGCTGACTTGGAAAACGGCGAGTGCATCCGTTGACGCAAACAAAATACGTATTATTGGTTGGAAGAAGGGAAGATGAAACCAGTTGCAACTGATAAAACGGACCCGGAAAAGATAGCAAAATGCTCTTGAAAAACGTCCACAGAATGACCTTAGAGATTCGCAAAAAATTGAGACGCCCATGAACAAAGAGGAGCCTCTGCAAGAACCTGCCAGACGAAAAACCGCAGAAAAATTCAGCGCAGTCACATCAAGCTTCGAAGAAGCTGCCAGCGCATCCAGTTCTCTGCCAATGGACATCAGGGATTAGGAATAACGAATTTGCACCACGAGTTATGACGGGCAAAATGCCACATACCTGAATTCGGAGATGGCAAAGTCCGCAAAGCCTGCCACTGACGTGCCTCGTTCTGTGCGGATAGCCACGCCCACACTAGCCTCCTGGAGCATTGGCACGTCATTGCTCCCGTCACCTACGAAGAAGAAGACGGAAGCTCCCCACAAGGAACACCTTCTAGCTCGACACTTTCTAGCTCGCCTTGGTAAGTTGAAACACGAATTCAGAGGCAGGCAGAAGCGTACCAATGGCCAAAGTAATCGGTTGCGGTGTTAATCGCTTCTTCACTAGCCGAACCTGCGCCACCCGCCAGCCAAATTTCCGGTATTACAAGCATGCACACAATCGCTTGATCCTTCTAACTGTATTAAAATCGGACCCTCTAATGTAGCCACACTGAAAAGAACGGAAAATTACCATGTCTGCTTTCTGAGTCGGTGTCACACGCGCCGCCACCACGACGTCACAACAGCATGCCATGTTTAGGAAGCAGGTCTGAGGGTAATCAGCAACGCATATCCCAAAGTAAACCCGCCCGTCTCTCCCTCTAAAGAATTCAAAATGAACAAAATGTAACAGAGTAGCGGTTACTACATAGGTGCGCACTGTACCTGCAAATCTGGGTGATTCAGGAAGGCCGCTAGATTTGGCCCTGTCACGACAAGGCAAATATGTTCGTCAGCTCGCTTAAGTATCCGCGCCTCTCGAAACATGTCGTAAAGCAACATTCCTTCCCGTTTGGCTCGCTTGCCTGAAGAAAGAATCGAAAAATGTAGTTGCATAGCTTGCATGGTACTCTATCGGGCAGATGACCACAGCTTAGGCGCACTCACCCCCACTTCAAGACTAATGCAGCGGGGAAGAAAGAAACTAACCTCTTGTGGCAAGAGCCGCGTGGAACACCTTCGTATGGCTAGTGAGAAGTCGGCAGCTATGACAAATATGCAAGGCATACTCGACGTCATCACCTGTTAAGGCGCAGTGGTTTAATCGAAGAACAAGTAGGCAACAACGGCATGTGGCTGACGAATCTATATCATTTCAATCAGCCGGGCGAAACTAGCTCTCTCAGTCGACCCAATGCTCAGACGGAAACAAAGTTAGTGTACGTCCGCTAAGAATAGCCGGAACGGGAGACAAATCCTGTCGAACATACCCGTAGCGATCCACACGCGGATGCCGGCTTCCATCATGAGCTCCAGTGTCTCAGGCACATAGGCCTGCAGCTTGTCCCGGACTCCGGTGATGCCAAGGTACTCTAAGTCCCGCTCGAACTGCTCCGCCACCTGCACACAAATTGTCCTGCCCAAAGCAAACCAACATAACCTAAGGCTGCCATTGGTGTTTTCAATGTGAGTCTCTGCGCTATGAGCCTCCAAAATAAGGGCAGCTTGATCCTCCAGCACCCTTACCTGCTCGAGACGCTCTTCTCTGCTGTAAACCGACGAACACGCATCATTGTAGAGGCGTTGATACGCGTCAGTCTCATCCTGACTCATGTACTTACAAGCAAGAACTGTGTAATAAGCAGTGCAAAAGCATAACGCACACCACACAGCACAATGAGAGTGTTTGGAGGGCTGCGCGTCTGAGTCGTGGTTTTGTCATGAGAGTTGGCTCCAACAACTTTCGCTTGAGCTGCCGCAGAGGCTCCTATTTACCCATGGTGCGTAAACCTTGAAGCGAGAAGACCTTCAGATGCTGCTCAACTAGCTCAACGTCTGCTTCCACACGGCTTTCAGGGGCGGGACAGGGCTTGAAGGGCTCTGCCTGCTCGCTGCTAAAAGCAAAATTTTGGTTCGCTTCACGGGGCGTGTTGTAGGGCACAGAACCTGCAGGAGCTACTCGTGGGAAGTTCTGGCGATCCGCTCCATCTCTCATGGTCGTCGTTGACCTGCTAAAACGCGACTCAGCATACTGTGTGTCCTGCGGGTCTGGACCCCCCTCGTACTTTGCGCCGGTTCTGCTTTCCTGCAGCATGCCGTCGAAGCTCGAAAGCAGTGGCAGCATTGCCGTGTCGGCTCCTGCAATTAGTGAAGAGCCCACAACCGAAAAGCAACCTTGCGAAGAACAAAAAGACATTCTCGTGATCATAAATCTACACGCCACAAGCCCATGCGAAGGCGGGCAGTGCGGAATGGGAGCAAATCGGTAGTTTTGGCCATGTTGTGGAACAGGCGCCGGACAAGTTTCTATCTCTCTTAAGCCAGTTTCGCAGCACGAACAAAACTCCCAATATTCTTAGTCTGAAAAACGCCTACAGCACGGGCTGGATAGCCACAAACATCCGTACCTTTGGCGTACATGATGGCCCCCTCAGTCCATCCAGCAGGGCGCAAGACTATACTCATTCGGCTTCTCTTGGAGGTGAACTCGTTGACGCCGATGACTTGCCAGCTGCGAAACTCGTCGTTTATCTGAAACAATCCTCGCAGCCAGAGCCATGTCATCCACGCGGTCATCAGGAACACACGAAGGCCCTATATCGCCGACTTCGCACGCAACGCAGTCGAGCTGATGCTATAACTAAAATACAGGTTACGGGTACAGGTTGCCTGTGCCTTATCAGTATGAAAAAGGCCCAAACGTGCGAAGCAGACCTGCAGTACAACGGATGCTGGGCCCCTAAAGGCAAGGGAATAACCCATGTGACTTGCAGCTGAAACCAGGCACTCCTCATCCGGCGAGGAGGCCTGGTACTTGATGCTTCGCAGTAGACGCGCTGGGTCCCACGTCTGGGTCCTGCCCGCTCCACCTGCGTGTAGCACGTAGCACGACCACCCAAAGCTCTGCAAGCCACTTCTGAATCCTTTCATTGCGGCAGCTGACATCTATCACAGCCAAGAAGCCCAGGGCTGAAGGCACTAGGGCTGTACGCACTTCTTGATTGCCGCGGGGCTGCACAGGTTTCTTCCTGAGGCCAAGCAACACGAGAAAAAAGGGGAATCGGCAAATCAAGTCACACACGCAAAAGCACGTGCGGCGAATGCAGAAAGCAACTGCCCCCGTCTCTACTTCGCTGGCAAATTTTCTATCGAATTCTCCGTTCGCCGATTCTGAAGTGTACCCTGCTCAGCCTGCAGAACAGCAAACACAGCAGAACTGCTGAAATGGCTCGTTAATTCTTCTAAAATGCTAGGATACGCTGCATATGTCGCCGCCTGATGCTCGAATAGCACGGAAAATGAGAACCCGCAAGACGCCAATGAGGGCCACACCTTGGCAATGAAACGCGCCCAAGAGAAACGAACTCGCCACTTGACTTGCTGTTCATTCCCAATCCTGAGAAGCTCTGACCAGAGTCTTCTAGCCCCGCGTCATCCCTAGTGAGCAAATAACGCCGAGAGAAGCCAAGTACAAAAGCAAACAATGCAACTCACTGGCAGCTCGCGGACATAAACGCACAACTGCATAGCAGCCTGCAGTCTGAAGTACGCGCCGCCTCATCCCCAGCAGCATCGGCACTTGCTAAGCCAAGTGTTCCCTCCTACATCCGTCTGCGTTCCTACCCATCCTTCAGAAAGTTATATTCCTCAGGTATCTCTTTGAAGGACACTCCTGCAAATCAGAATATGTAGAGGAAGTTGCACCACGAATGAGAAAACAAGCGAAGCAGCAGCTCACCAATAGCCGCATTATTCCTGCATGGACTACAACATAGGAGCCGGGTCTAGCCAACCTCGTCCAAGGCTTTTACGCCTTTTCGCCAGCTTCAAGGGCACCTCTGGAGGTGGGTTACTATCGCAAGAATCGCCGCGAGCTAGAGACGGTTGAGGCACGTCCGACGGATCGGACACGCCATTTGCCTCCATGCTGGCCGACGGGAGAGCAGGGCTGGCGTTAAACGAGTTCTGTGCAACCACCATCAAGTATAATAAGCTGCATTCATGAGGTGATATATCAAGAAAAATATGGGCTGCCCCACGACCAGTTTTACAGAAAGAAAGCGAAACGTTTTAGCAGCGCAAGCAGCTAGGCGTACATACGATACACTGTCAAATGCTTGAAGATATCATTTGAATATGAATAAGCTATCTACAAACTAAAAGAAATGCCACAGCAGAGTGATATCTTTGCGTGAGTTCTCTTCCTCAACGCCTCTACCCAAAAGCCAAAACTTACCGAAGGCAAATGCCACAGAGCCCCGCCTGAGGCTGTTCTGTCTTCAGTAGGCTTGGTTCCTATATCCCTCATAGTAACACCACTGGCCCTTGTACTAGGCCTCTGAGTAACCATGGAAATGGGGGCCGCAGTGCCTGCAGAGCGTGCGTAGACGCTTGCCGTTGTGTGGGTCCCGCCGCTGGTAATCCAGCTTTGTACGAATGTCGATGGCAGAAGCGTCTCAACACCTCCAGCCGCGCCCTTGAAGTGTGGCACCACCGTATTACAAAGCGCCATGCACTTGAGGAACTCATTTACGCGGTGACTCCTCTCGTCACAATTGGCCAAATCTTCGAAAATTTGCATATCATAGAAGTCGCAGTTCCGACGGATTTGGCCATCTGACGGGGTTGCTACAAGAAATATCACAAAATATAACCATAAACTCGTAGACGCTCATTCGTTTGGAGGGAAAAAATAAACACTGCCGCCTGCTAACAGCTGCTCGCCGTGTCGCCTTTCTCACCTCGAAAGTGAGTAGGAGGAGTGATGTTATCGTACAGGAAAGGAACTCTCTGCTTTTCGTCCTTCTTGCTGTTTGTCTCCGAAGAATCATCACTAATCCTTTCTGCTGCACGATTGGTGGGGCTCGCTGCAACGGCCTCCCTGCGGGATTGTGACGAGCTATCATCAGAGCTGCACGGTGTGCCCACCCGCCTAAATAACGCCACAGCAGCCAACTCGGCTCGCACTGCCCCAACACATTTAATAAGCGGACTACTATATGCAGTGCTAGCTCAATACCCACGCTCTCCATCTGGTACTTCGCCGGTGAGCACTAAGATGCATGAGATTGTACGACCCACTCGGCTTTATCGCGGCAAGAATCATCAGCATCATCTGCAGATAAGGGCAGACAGAACAAGCACACAGGGGCTGCAAGTCCACTTGCCTATTCCCAGAACAATTAACGACTCTGCGGCTGACAGCAGCATTAAAAAAATTAATAACGGCATTTTCAAGCCATATGCGCCTATGTCAAGAAAGAACCACCCAATTTCGTGTTTGGGGCTTACCCACGGCAAAAGCAATGTTCTTTTTGACCGGTCTCTGGGCCATTCCCCGCAAGCTGTCGTCGACCGGCACAGGCGACTGTGGCGTCTGCATCAAAAGAACAGGCGCTATAGATTTACTAAGCTCAGCGCAACAAAAACTGTTCACACGGGTCCTAAGGCAGAGGATAAGATCCAATGCCACTGAGCCAATACTGACACCAGCTTCGCAACTCTCACTCAAAAATGAACAAGCCGCATGTATGATGTGCTTCTGCCCCAGGAATTGCCCCTCCTATGCAAATGTTAGATCCCCAAAACACCGAAGTTTCCAAGCAGCTCAGAAACTGAGAAGTCGAGCTTTCCCACTTACGGATGCCGAAGACAACCGGGAAGCGCTACTTTGCATTCGGCCCAGCCTAGGACGATAACGGGGACGCGGACCTGCAGGAGGAAGTCGAAATTGATGAAATGTTCAAAGAAGCCCTTGTATCCTTCAGCTGAGAACACTTCTAGAATATGGTGTTCGGTGCGCTGCTATGTGCACCTCCACTCATTAAGAGCTTACTGTTATCCTCTAAGCTTCGAATGCAATTAAGCGGCCCAGAGTCCCACCGGTACTGCAAAACTGACCCACTCCGGCTCACTGTTGGAGAAACTGAACCAAGACGCAAAATGGAAGCAATCAAGAAAGCCACCAGCAGCATGTGCGTGGAATGCTACGGCCCCTCACGTCTGAAAGCAGCACAACGTGAAACATCAGGGAAGCTAGTTGGTTTGCCGAAGACCCACAGACACGAGAAGACGTTTTCTCATCAGAAGAAGAGGCGCTCTGTGGCGTCGGAGGACTTGGGCTGGGCCCATAATCCCCCGGCATGCCGTGGGTCCCCGCAGTTGAGAAGGCCAAGTGGACACCTCCGCCTCCTGTGACGTTTTCCTTGGAGCCACGGTGGCCGCCTCGGCCGTAATGCATGTGGCCTGATGTCCACAGCCCTCGAGCGGACTGATGTCTCCTCGAGCTGGCCGTGCTGTCTGCGCGTGCTGCTCGCAGCTGTTCCACCATCGCCGGCTCCAGCAAATCACTGCGAGACTGGTATTCATCTGACTGCCACAGAGCACCATGGAAATCCGCCATCCCGTAAATCCTGTTGCATACACAGCAGGCACGATACAGTACATGGCATGCATTACTTATCGACAAACTTCAAAGTAGCCTTCAGCCCTGGGGCTCCCAAACCAACCCCGCGCTACAGGCCGTTACAGCCCGCTGGCACAGAGCCAAGCGGCGCAGCCAAAAGCAGGAACTAGGCTGAATGCGCACCTGCCCACAACGCTGCACATAGAGAAAGTCATGTCGTTGCCCGTTAGAGTCCCAGTCTTGTCAATGAAGACAAAATCAACTTGACCCAGGTCTGGAATAATGCTGGGAGTGCTCACCGCTGGCCACGTGCTATCTCCCTTTGCCTCTGCAAAACTGCGCATATTGGGCGAGTTCTGCGTCTCCCCAGTAAAAGGATCTGTGTTCTTGTGTTCTGTTTCATTCCCAATAGTAGGGCTCCGGGTCTCCCTACTCATGGTAGTCTTTCGTCTGGAACAGTCGCCAGAAGCTCCGGGTCCCCATGACTCCGCCGGGCTGGCCAAGTTGTTGGTGCTAGTTTGCGTTGCATTCAGTCCTACCTCCGTACGGCGCGCCTGCATTCGGGCACGACTCTGCGCATGCGCAAGCCCAAAACCGAAGCCGAAAGAGGACCCCAGAGGCTGCTGTGGGGCGCCGACAGTCATCGCCGCGTCTCCTTGAATCAGCCAAGCTTGAATGCAGTACGCGCTGTCCAGAACAAACGGTAAGGAAACCGGAATAACAGCTAGGAAAAGAGTCATGTAACGGATTATGGCAAGCCAAGGATTCTGTAAGGCCTCAGTCGTCCCCAGCAAAAATGCAGTCGAGCTCGGAAATTCATCCCGCCCAATGTTCACCCGTTCGCGATCCTGAGATCCGTAGTCAGCCCGCATGCAACGCGTCCACTTATACACATGCAACAAGTAAGTGCATGATCTCATTCAGTCCTTAATGTAGGCGTGCATTCGCACGTGCACGTCCGGAGCATAAAGCACAAGAGTCTGTGGGCCACTTTCGAAATGTAGCGGCCGCGTGACATTATGAAGGGACGCTCTAAGCCTGTATACGACCAAAAGCACCATCACGGGATCCCCACGAGGTTAGAGTGACGCTGAACGCACCTGAACGCTGGATTTGCTCATGACAGAGATGAGGATGAGCAAAGCAATGATGAAGAAGGACACGATGGTGTAGGAGTTGACCTCACTCTCTATGTGAGCGAATTTAAGGCTGGGGTGCCTGGCGCTGCGAAGAGTCCGAGTGTCGTGGCCGGTGTAGACCACAACACCATACACCCACTCCGTATTTCGAATGTGAGCTCCCCTATGAATGAAATTTGAGAGGTCTAGCGAAGTTGCGCGGGGATGCGCATCAAGTTTGAGGCTACCGCTGAAGCTGTCCATAGAGCTTGTGGGCTTCTCGCAGACAACGCGCCCCCTGATGCCGGCTATGGCCAAAGGGTAGGTCTCCGTGCGTGTCTCCTTAACACCTTGTTTAAACTTGAGGGTCGTCTCCCCGTCCAGTTTAGAGGTTTCCACGTAAGCTATGCCCTCAGGGTTTGAGGTGGCCAGCACCACCACGTCCGCAGGCACTTCCTCGTCATCTGTTAAACGCACTATATTGCCTACACGCAGTGCCTCCCAGTGCACCATCTTCAGCTGAGGCCGTCGACCATCTATGATGGTGCACACGCGACAGTTTCGCCATCTGTCGGTGGCGCGACGTTGCAAATCCAGGAGCATCTCCTTAGCCAGACACAGCCCCAGTGCTGCAAGGTAAGAACGCAAGTATAGAAAAGGCACACAGACTGAATCAGCAGCACAAAAAAATCGCACATGTCTGGAGAGAAAGGACGCTTCCCTGAAGGTGCACGCTGTTGTTCCCTCGCCACGCTGGGGTTCTCCTTCATGGGACAGAAAAGTGCCGTCTGAGACGTACTTAGGACCAAAGGAAGAAAAGTGCTCCACGGAGTGAGAGGATGGAAGCGAGGCAAAGGAATAAACTCTAAGATGAGCACCAATGCCAGCCACCAGTTCGGTAGTCTGTGGAATTGCTTCCACAAGGCCTTGGGCAGAAATGACATAACCTGCACACGACAAGAACAAGGAAGAATAAAACAAGCCATGCATGCGCCTAAAAGCCCAGAACAATCAACTCAGCCTCGAACAAATGTGAACTAAAGCGCTGTCCCTCCTGTATATGCAAAGTTGCTCGCATGCTCTATGGGAACATTACACTCAAATGCAGGTCTCTCTGTATCATTCGTTTTAGGAATCCTGAAACCACCAAATGCCTTGTCAATGCGTAGCAGGAAATGGGCTTCCAACAGCCCACACAGCTGCAGTTCACGCTGGCTGTGAAGCCCCCTCAAGGAAAACTGAGCCGCTAATGTTGGCCTGTTGTGAGCCGGCTGAGTTTCATTCCTCACAGTATATTTGGTAGTGTTGACTGCGTTTCCGGGGAAACGGCGCAGGTCGTCTTTGTCTATTGGATTTATCGTCAACTTGCGGATGCCCCATAACGGCTGCTGCGTCGTGTCTTTGTAGAGTTTCCTCTTCTGCTCCATCAATGCAGTGCGGCCTGCTGCAGCAGCTACACATATACCATAGCATCGCCCAAACGGAAACCCCAGAATAAGCTACAGCTTCCACGTACAGGTCCAAAGGGAAAAACGAATGCCTAGGAGGCAACGATACCGTAGCTGCTCGCTGTCAACGGCATCATAATAGAACACTAGTACCCACGCAAGGACAGCAATCCATAGCTGCTGTTCCATGAGCAGTACCGCTAGCTGTTGTTGCCTTTTGCATACCCCAAGTGGGCACAAAGCTGCACCGATAGCCGAAGAGTAGACAAGCCACAGGCAGGAGGAATTATACAGTCACACACTTACAAGTGAGGACCACTTCCACACAGCGAAGCAACACTGGAAGAAGCGAATGCACCCGTCTTCTCCACACGGCGAAGTCTTCGCTTTAAAATTCACAGAGCACGGCCATGCATGTGCATAGTGAGCGGACTCAACTGCGCTACACGTTCACTAAACGGGAGTCCGCTATGCTCACCGGTGCCCGCAGCCATTCCCAATTTGCCAATGATAGTCTTGGACGCGTGTTTCCGCACAGAACCCGTGATTTCCTCGGAGCTCCCAGAGTGCAAGTGTTGCGGACGGACCCTGCGCCTGCCGTGGCCGCGGCGTGCACTCGGATCATCTGATGCAGGTACTGCAGCGTGAGGACTGTTCTCAGCGTCAGGGCCACCCTCCCATGGGCCCATGCCCGTCGAAATGGGACCACCATGCTTTCTCACTTTGTACTTTGAGCTATGAGCCTTGCTGCGCTTCGTTGGCCGGCGCACTGTGGGTTCGTGAGTGGTAAGCGGTGCCCGCGCTGCGCCGGCAGCTGCCGAGGGAGCCCCTTGCTGACCTTGTGGGCGTCCACTCTGCCCGAAGAGGCCTTCACCACGCTCTGGAGCCCCTGAGGGAGCGCTCCCTGGGTTGTGGAACATCTCCTCTTCTGGTCATGTGGGGGCACAGGTGGGGCCCCTGACACGGAGATGCTCCTATGACTTGCCACGAGTTTCCCGAAGATCTTCGCTTCCTGCACAATTTAGGAAGAGGCGGAGATCTTCAGCGAACAATGATGAGAGTCAATCAGCGCGCAGTGGTGAAGGCCAACACACGGGACCCTGCGTACAACCTTTTTGGGAGCTCCTAAACGCAATGGGACGGCAAGGGACCCTCAGCAATGGGGCGAACGGCGAGGTTACTGCTGCTGGCGTTGCAGCTGTCACTCCTACCTTTGTCCCTGCTGTTTCCGATGCTGTTGTTCATGCAGCTGCTGCTGCTGCTGCTCGAGGAAGAATTGCTGCTGCTGCTACTGCATGGCTGAGAACCCCGCTATTTTGAGGTCTTCCCGTGGTCGGTGGCAAGGGTTGTGCCGGCCACGCGCTGCGGCATGCAGATTCTCTACTGTTGCCGTAACAAAAAAAGAGGCATGAGGCTGAAAGCCTAAGGCCTTGGCACTCCATCCCATGGGCCTCTGTCGAGCCTCACCGCCGCCCGGTGCTGACGTGTTTGGGGCTCTCAGGGGCAGGCTCGTGGAATATAAACCATATAATGGTCAATAATGTCCGCAGTCATAGAAGTGACCTATGTAAACGGCATATTTGCCTTTGCTGTAGCAACACTACTGGCTGTTGTGCAGCATGCCGTCTGCTGATGCGAGGCCGCGAAGTTAGAGCAGCCGCCACATGCGGTACCCAAACATGGGAACGTTCCCGCTGTATATCGTCAAGCTTGTGAAATTCCTTGCGGGGTTAGTGTCTTTGTGGCATCCACTATGATGTGTATCCTAATGCCACCATAAACGTCATAGGGGTCTTGCAAATGCAGGCGCAGGGGTCGCCATTCCTGCCTGCCGTCGACATTAGCTTCTTTTTGTCCGAATTTGACAGTAGTCGAGAGTGACAGTTGTCTGAATTTGGAAGTTTCTACGGCGTTCCCTGCTAACCACCACGGGCTGAAACACAGGCCGCTGGCTTGGCCGTTGCCCCAGTTCGCAGACATTACACCGTAACAGCAAACGAGCAGAACAGGTACAGCGCTCCTGTCCATGCAGCGACCAACCTGGGGAACGTCTGCGCCGTTCACTTCAGGAAGTTACAGATGGAGCCAGCAGCAGCAAGTGAGACGCGGAGGTTCTAGGCGCCCTCGAGGGGCCTCAAGTGGACGTCCTGCTGTTGGCTTCAGAGGCTTCCAGTCATTCGCATCATCCACAGGGCTTCTTCCTATCCCTCCGAGGGCTCTGGACGACCCATGGGAGGCTTTACACCCTAAATACGGAGGCATCCAGCCCCTAGACGTCCCAACGGAAGAGGTCCAAAGGGAACTGCAGGCGGAGGTCGCGCGGCAAGTTCGCCTGCAGCGGATCTTAGGAGTGAGAGAGAATCTTCTAGGAAACGGGTTTGACGGAGCAGGAACTGTACAAGCGCAAGCTACGTGCCTCCCACAGCCGTCAGGGTCGCCCCTAGAACGAGTCGGCGTGCCCGAGGAATTAAAGTATCTGGCAACGGCACAAGAAAAACAGCAGAGTGACCCAAATGACATAGAGGGTTGCAAGCGCCCGAGCGAGCCCCCATCTATCCCACCACAAGATCTGCATAACATGGAGGCCACTTCCTTGGTAGCGCGCACTCGCCCATTGGTTTTGCCCCCGCCTCAGTTTGGCCCGAAGGATGCTGAAGAGGGGGCGGCGGCTTCCCCAGTGAGTAGCACGAATTTTCTCGTAGGGACGGGAAATGATGGTCATAGTAGCCTTGCAGGGCGGCGCACGGATGAGCCCAAGCGGGGCCTGCGCCTTCCTGCAGTCATGATGAATCTCGCCGGGGATCTTCAAGGCTCACAAGCCCTTTGCCTGGACGAGGAGGGCATTTTGAAAAAGCTTCGACGCCATGTTTGAGTGAATGCACGTTTTCACCACGCAGATATCTTTCAGCTGAGTAGCCAAGAGGGCTCAGTTTGCCCCAACTTTAGCCCTCTTTTTCATACAGCATCAGGAAAGTTCTAGTTTGTGTGTTTGTTGATGGCGTAGGAAGCCCCATTGAGACAATAGCAAGCCAGTCAGTTGACTCCCAGGACCAGCACGTAAACAGGTCACGAAGTGGCTTCAATGTGGGAACCGCCTCTCTTTTCGTGCGACCCGCAGCCCACTTCGTTGTGCCACAAAAGTATTTTGTATACAGGGCATATACTGGTGGACTGAGTATGCAACAAAAAAGGCAACAAACACTGTACGAGTGCATACTCTGGTCGCCTGAACTAGGACGGTTCTTATGATGGGGATGAGTTCACTGCGCACGGCGAGAGGATACAAAGGCAAATCGGAAGTGCCCCAAAAGAGAATCCGGACCAGATAGGGTGCAGTGTTTGAACGTTAGGGTGCATCCCAACACGTACACCTAACCCAGAATTTCAGTGCCAACTGCAGTTGTAGCAGCAAAAACTAATCCCGTAGGGGCTGCTTGCACGTTTGTCCGCATGCAGCGTCAACGGCGAGGGCCACTTAGGGCCCCCTCAGGGCGGCGCTGATAACAGCTAGTCGATTGTCCTTCTCCTTCAGTTCCTGCATAGCAGCAGCAGCGGTGGCTGTCCGAGTCCAACGACGTACTGGTCATAGTAGCGACACAGTGCACTGAGAGCATGCTGGGATTCTCAGGGGCCCGTTTAGGTGCAACACCTCGAGAGAGCGGACCCTACTGTACCTGTTGCATGCGGTTCAGCATTTCAGACTTGGCAGCTGCTGCTGCTCTGGCCCCTGCTGCAGTTTCCACTGCGGTTTGCAGTCTCTTTTCTAAGTCTTCAATGGTGCTGTGTATCTCAAAACACATAGTCCCCCAAGACCAAGCATTCGTAACACTTCACTATAGGTCTCGCGCTGTGTGATGCTTGTGTGCTAGAAAGCATATGCACGCATTTGTATCTGCGTGCTGCGTCATGGAAGCCGGGTGCAATCAAGTGCGTGAAATCACCTTTCACTACACCGATTGCGGGCCTTGAGTGCTTCATTTTCCTTTTGAAAGGCTCTCAGCTGCTCCTCAAGAGAGACTTGGCGCAGTGATGCTGCTCTCGCTTGGCTCTGCGGCAGCAACGAATTGACCAGTGCACCTCAGTCTCTTGATGCATGCAGACACACTCGCAGAGGCATGCAGATGTAAATATAAACGTGCATGCATGCAGCGTACCTACGCGCGGAAAGAAGTAAAGCAATATAATCCAAATTGGCCACAGGCAAACCCGTGCTTAAGCATGTAGAAATCGACTCGCGACTGCAGGCAGGTCGCCCACCTCCTGTTCCCTTGCCATTTGCTGCAGCTGTTGCTCCAGCTGCTGCAACTTCTGCCTTGATTGCTGTTCACTGTTTGCTGCAGCATGCATGCGCGCTTCCTTCAAAACTCCGTTCTCTGCCTGCTGTTCAGCTAGAGCCTTCATCACCAAAATGAGCTGTCTGAGACACAGTGAAGCAAGCGCAGTAGATCGACTTATCCGCTTGTGGTTCCGCTGCATGAGTGCTGTTACCACTCCTACTAACCAAAAAATCCATGAATTTCACAAAAGCAGCAAGAAGGCAGAACCCAAATCATGACAAAGCCTCAGATGCAGCTGCTGCTATCCCAGAAGCAGCAAGCACAACATTCGCAACACAACTACGCCAGTACCCAAGCAGCACCAGAAGCTCCGGCTTGGCACTGATGGAGTGGCAGCAGGAAATCAGGCCGGACCGCAGTCCGTCTCACCTGAATTGTTGCTCGTTTTCATCCTGAACCCTCTCGTAGTTGATTTGCAGTTTGTTTTTTTCTTCCTGTGGCAAAGGTAGATAAGCTGTCGCGCTGCCCTTTACTTAAACAGATCGAGGCGAGAGAGCACCACAGCTAAATAAAAACAATAGAAAAAAAACAACGGTCAAAAGAAGGAACACGTTTATCAACTATGAACTAATGTTTTTAATCAACAAGCAGATCCCAGTGCCAGCTTATGAGTTCCAGCCGCTAAGACAGACAACAGAACCCCCAAAGTGACAGATAAGATGGAGCAAATATACGGAAAACTGACGTATACACCCAAAGGCGCGTAAACGTACGTCTGCATATTCATCTATTTGCACGTATTTACAATGTATGTACAGGCAAATACACACGCCGATATCCATATATCCATGTAGAAGCGTAGAAACAAGCACATGTGAGCTAAATAAATAACTGTTTATATGTGTACAAGTGCCTTCGTGCGATTTTAGAAGCCATGCCTTGTGTCCGGGCAGACTTGAATCGACCCTGCTCAGGAACATAACAATTAGGGCTGCACCTGTGTGCAGCCGCGAAGTTCACCTGCAGCTGCCTGTGCTTTTCAGTTAGCGCGGTAAGGGTGTTTGTTGTATGCTGCTGCTTTTCTAAAAGCGATCTTAGCTTCGCTTCTTGCTTGGATATCTCTTCCTTCTGAGAAATGCATATTCGTATTGGTACAAATGTCCTATATAAATGCACAACTTTGATATGAAAGTATTTATATACAAAGCAGACGTCGCTCTAAGTCGAGTAACCTGAACAGGGCACACTGCTTAGCCCCAAAAAGGTCCGCCGGCCAACTGTGCTGCAGTCACAGGATTGTTCGCATTTCACCCTTTCAGGAAGTTTAGCAGCAGCACCAAAGATAGCAAATGCATAAGCACGTGTACCTGCTTGACGTTAATCGCCGTCTGTATTTGCAAGTCGCGTGAGATCTCTGAAATGTCTGGTACATGCGGGGTCCTTCCCTCTCCCAGGTTGGACTGGAGACTGCGAGAGCCACGGACACACTGCCTTAAGCAACACATATATACTCACTTGTGACCTGCTGGCAACTGGGACCCTCTCCCAGACCCCCTGTAATGCGCCATACGTAGAGCTTCTGCTCTTGTCAAGCCCACGCCTTCTCGTTCCGTGTGTGCACATCGTGGAATACATCACCGATC